CTGAATTGGTTAGTTCCTGTAGTTATTAATGCCAGCAAAAAATTTTGTAAACATTTTATAATATTAACTTTATGTACATTGAGGGTCTAGAGTGAGCCAAACTTCAAAGCAGACTTTCTTTTTTAGAGGGATGCTATCACATGCCAGACACTGATTTTCAGAGTCTTTACTGATAGAAGAATAATTGAAATAATCAAGATTAAATGAGATTTGTACTAGAAGAAATAAAAATGTGTGGAATGAAGAAATAAGCTCATTTGAGAATCTAAGAGATATTAGCTATAAAAATAATAAATACAACAAAAAGTGTTAGCATTGCCCTTTTCTTCAGCTGAGTGATAGGTACATGGGTTTTTGTTTTATTGTTCTTTCTGCCATTTTTATATTTTTTTTATTTATGACCCAGTTGATAATAAAATTGAACGTAAATGTAAGTAGTATGGTTTGCATCATAGCTCAATGCCGGTTTACAATTTCCATTTTGTAGTTAAGGCATTGTTTAGAGCTTCTGCTACTGTGACTTATTAATTATTGCTTGAACAGTACATTGGTCAAAAAGTCCCCAATGCATGTATGACACCAAGGTTCAGCTATCCGTTTCCCCTTGTGATTCTTTATGGGGTTGAATAACTCCTTATGTAGTCAGGCTCCCTAAGAAACGTTAAAGCTGTTTGGCTACATGAAGGAAGGCATTGCTAACAAGCCTGATTGTGCCAGTGTTTCTTTTGGGTATACTAGACTTCTGAGGCAAGATCCTTCTTCTAGTGTTCCTATTCCCCAAGACTGTTGAAATGTTTGATTGTTGTGTTCCTGTTAAATGTTTTTATGCATCTCCCTTTGAACATTGTTAGTGCTCAGTAAATCGTAGACTCTCAAAAGGGGAACGTACATTTAAACACAAGTTGGGACCTTAGTGTATTAAGCTACCTCCCTAGCTTTAGTTATTTTTCATCCTTTGCAAAGGCAGTAACTTTAAGAAGATCCCGCTTTGGCTCACTATATATTCCAGGCACTTCATGAAATGCGTTTCCTCTCTTTACCTTTCATCCTACACTGTAAAATGAGAGGATATATACCTTATTTCAATGAAATCCCATGGTAACCAAGGATTTCATTATGGTGTATGCTAACATCAAAACATCTTTGTTTGATTTAACAGAGAACAAGAAACTTGTATACAACTGCAGGAACTTTTCCCAGCAGGAATAAGGGGCATATGGTGTGTGTAATAAATAGTCTTTTAAAATGACTAAGTTACAAAATTGTCTTGTTCTTGCTTGTGCACATTCTGAAATGAAGCTGTCTCATTTCCCTTATCTTTTATTCCTTCGGCTGGTATCATTGGAAACACTTTGGAAGGTTTGGAGACAAGGGATTCTAATGGAAATATTGGAACATAATTGCATGGCATTTTGAATCTTTACAGAGTTACCCATTTGCATTGCACCAGTCCTCTTAAAAAATTCACAGCATGCTGATTTTTTACATTATATCACTTTTTTTTTTTTTTTTTACTGCATGGGCAGTCAAAAGCTATGCTGTCCCATTATGTCCAAACCCTATATGTCATAGTTGGGAATCTTCCAAGAAAAGACACATATAACCAATTTGGCAAGTGGGATAATTAACTAAATTTCTCTATTTGTAAAAATGTCCATAGCGAATTAGACATGTGAGGAATACCTTACTTCTTTTTGCACATTATTTGAGTACATAGGCTCATCGGCTTCCGTTTTAAGATGTGGCCTTTCTGTACTTATAGTGGTTTATCTTATTATGGTTTATCTGGTTGTTGCTTTCTTCTTCTTTTTGCCCCTCTTGCCCCTCTTTCTCCTCCTGTTCTCCCCTTCCCTCTCTCTCACAAGCGTGCAGACACATTTTTTGGGTGACTGAACATTAATGATACAACAAAGGTACAGCTCTGAATCTTGATGAGTAATGAGTAATCTCTGTGTGTGGAATGAAGAAAAACCGATTTATGTTTCCAATTTTTATATTTTTGTCTCAAATAATTTTCCTTTATTTTGTTATTTTTTGGTTTGTTTGTGATTCACTGGTCCTTTATTCGAATTGTGTAGAGGCAGCATTTTCCTTATCGTGACTGAACTGTATCATTTAAGAAAGACTATTTTGCAGAAACAGAACCATTATTGAATTGCACAGTAGGCTGATGGCAACACTGGAGCCTTAGCACTTTGGGGGATTTTCAGTGAGAAGCAGCAAGCATCAGCGGGAAACTGCAAATAGTAACTAATCATGTTAATAATCCTTTTTATTTGAATTGCAACAAAATAATGCATTTTCCTCTATTTTAGCCTCTGTGTTCCATGCCTGAGAGTACTGAGATGGTGAGAAGACAGAAGTACTGCAGTAGTGACAGCAGTTATGATCATAGCAGCAGCTCTTCAGAATCCGATGAAAATGAAAAAGAAGAGTACCAAAATAAGAAACGAGAAAAGCAAGTTACTTATAATCTTAAACAGTCCAACCACTACAAATTAATGCAACAACCCAGTAAGTGAATATCTTCTAATTTAGTTGTTATATGAAGGATTGATTATGGGACTGAAATTATGGAACTCAATAAAAGGACCTTGGGCCAAATGAACCCTTGTCATGTGTGAGGAGATCTGGATTCTGTCCTACTTCCTTCCCTAACCATCCTGCAAACTCTTTCAGGGTCTGCAAGTAGAAAACGAAAGGGTTGAATGAAGGATCTCTGTAGTCCATTCTTCTATTTTTCATAGCTTTTGTTAAGTCCTAGATTTTTGCATGGATTTACGAAATTTGCCTCATGGCTGACCTACTGATTGTATTCTTTTTAAAGCCAATATAGCCTCTCATTCCACTTCCTGGTTTCCTTAACGGTCACCCATTTTGTTGTGTATTATCACCTCCATTTTATTTTTTTATTTTTTATTTATTTTTATTTATTTATTCTTTTTAGGTAAGAGGCATGTGCAAATCTCACCTCCATTTTAAAATGTGTGTATCTCTGTAGGCATTTGACTTGAATGTATCTGTGAGCCACACAATTATGACATAGTTTTGTTCCCTCCCATTTGCATCATGGTATCCAGGAAGTATGCAGGAGAGTAACCAGCCAGATTCCCTGTCTCCTTCCTTTTCTGCTTCCTTTGTTTCTCTTCCTCCCTTCCTATTTCTTTTCACCTTTTCTCTCTTCAATCACTAATGTTCACTACCGTGTCCATGATTCTCCTTTCATTCCCAAATGTCCGGTGTGGTGTCGCTGTTTGCCCAAGCTCAGCTGGATATCCCTTCCTGACGCTGCCTCCAATGCAGGACTTATTCTTAACCAGTGTGTCTCATAACTCTGCCTTGTCCTTCATTATCCTAGGGCTCCCCTAGTGGGACTGGTTCAATGGTGCATAAACACAATTGTGAGGCTTTGTATTGATCTCCAGCAATAGTTTAATATGTTAGCTTCCCTGATAATGTGTATATTTAAACCTGACTTTCCATACGTATGGCAAAATGCATGAGGAATGCAGAACTAATAGATGAAGATTTTAGTGGTCTTTCATTTACTTCCAACTTATTCCATAAAAAGATACCTGCTAATGTTCCTGTCTTTGAGGGTTTATATGCTTGGAGGGGAAGTAATGTAGTATTATGTTCCATTTCATTGGTTTGATTATTTACCCATTCAAGATATGTTTATTGAGCACCAGCTCCAGAGTTTGTAAGCTATTTTATCAGTCATTTCCTTTTTTCTTAAAGACACCTTCAGTACTCTGTGTAAGTGTGACTATTTCTCTTTTGGAAGCTGACCTTGTTCTGCTCAGATTCTGTCAGTTTTTTAACCCCTATTAGCTAATGTGTGCATCCCTAACAGTATGAACTAGCAGAGGATAAAGGTAGGGTTGAGAAAAATTACTCGGGTTCTGAGTAAAAAATAGCTCTGAGATTATTCTTTGTTTTTAAACCAATAGCTTAATAAATTGAGATTGGACAAATAGTGTATACGAAAAATGTTTTTAAGTGAGTATTCTCATTTTAATGCTAGTCTAATTCAATTACATATCTTTTTCCTTATTACTATATTTTATTTTTATAGTCATTAGTAATTACAACAAGGATTTCACTTTGTTTTATATTCTCTCTTTAATCTTACACTAAAGGATATCATAGCCACAAACCCTCCTTGAGTTTTCTGTCCAAAGTGATGCCAATGATGGAGGACAAAATCCAGGTTATGTGTAACACTCTCTGTTAGTCAACTTAGGAAATTTAAACTTGACATAGTTTCATATAATATATTTTGGTTTGATATAACATAGTCATATACAAAACTATATGAAATATTTCTTCACATAATTTGTGTATGCAAGTTACAACCATTTATTGTTAATCTACCTAAATATCATTGGCATGTCTAGCTACTTATTTATTGTCTGATATTCCAGTGTATGCAGGGGAAAAATGGGATTCGTTGGTGATTCAAGAGAAAGGATACATTCCTTCTGTACGTATGATCAAATTATATTGTACATGTCTAAATCATCACCTTAAGCCCTAAAACAGCAGGACTCAGGAGTAGGTTGTAGTACATGCTTTTGGGTGCTTTCTTAATAGATCGACCAGTGGTGTATGTTCCCCACACAGCCCTTCTCTAGAAGCACTAGAACTTAAATAATGGTGTGATTTTCAGGTTCAGAAGAAAGTTACTAGTTGGAACAAATGGAAATTTTTTTAAACATTTTTTTATAGCTTGAATGAGTATACTTTTTTGGATTCTTTAGAACCAAATGAGGAGTATTAGTCTTATTATCTATTCAAAATACCCTTTAGAAATACATCCCTAAATATATGGCTTATGTCCATTGCCTTTATAAAGGTTTAAATTTTTTTCAACAGCTAATGAAGAGAAGTATTTGGGTATTCAACCTGCCTTCATGTGAGTTTCATTAAATTATTTAATTAATGTGGATTGACATATTCCCCAAGCAAAGAGAGAATATAGAACAGAGTGTATATAAAATATATGAGCTAAAAAGGATGTAAATGTTGATAATATTGATTGATATTACACTTCCCTTTGTCAGGAATCAAAATTTACCTGGAATAGTTGTTTCTCTCTTTTAAACATTCTCAATATACATTAGGGAAGTTATTCAACGGTTTTCTCTACTTCTTTGTTCTGATAACAACCCTTTAGGTCCAGACATTTTCTGTTCACTTAAACTATTTGCTATAGTTTTTTATTCTTCTCTCCTGTGAATAAGAAGACTATATGTCTAGTACCACTCTTGTCATAACCAATTATAAATTTAAACTCCATTAAGATAGTCTTTATGTTTTTCTTCTCTTTCATTTTTTCTCATGGGCTCAAAATTCTGTATAACTCATCCATTTATCCTGGCTCTTCTCTAGACTCCTTTCCATTTCTCCCTGCAAGTCTTGCTGGAAAATACTCTGTACACAAATTCTAATAAATGACTAGTCTAATCCAAGGATAATGGATAGTATGGTATTATAGGAAGAGGGAGGACACTGGCATTAGATAGGTCAGGATTTAAACCTGAGCTTGGCCACTCTCTTCTCCTGTGACCTTGAGAAAGTTCTTTCTCCGAGCCTCCAGGTGATGGAGGTTCCTACTTCAGAGATTTCTGTGAGGATTAAAATAAAAGTGTAGCACCTAGTAGGATGACTGGTTTATAGAAGATGCTCTGTAAGTGTTAGTTTTCCTATCTTGTCTTTTATGTCATGTTTCAAGAACAGAACATTAAAGTTTTATTTAAGTTTTGTTTTCATGATAGCCATTCTTCATACATGACAGGGGTTCTGCACCAAGTTCACTGTTTAAATTGAAGAATGAACTCCAAGCTCATGTTTTCATGATGATGCCTATGCTTTGACATTTATTGCCACGCTGCTGCTATGTGGTCTGATTATTAGTTTATATAGATCAAATACAGTGGGAAACTTTTAATAATGGCTGCCATATTATCCCTCTTCTCCGTCATTAATAGGCTCCATAAGGCGTTCTTTCAGTTGCCCTCGGTCAATCTCTTCTCAATCACCTTCCAGTGTGGACATCCGCCCCTTTTCTGCTCAACAAATGATATCACCACCCCGGCCAATTTCAGGGTCTCGGTCACATTCCTTAAACCGTGCTTCCTCCTACACGAGGCATCTGCCTCCTAGTAATGATGCCAGCTCTACGAACTCTCAGGTAAGTCATCTACCTTGCTCCTTTGATATTATTGGAAGCACTGCACTCAGGATTAGGTGGCACAGTGATCAGCTGGGAGGAGGATAGATTGCACCTGAGATCCTTTCCATTGAGCAACTCATGGTCTCCTGGAATTTGGATTATTCCGTCTACCCTAGCCTATAGTTTAGTCTGGACTCTTAAAGGGCAGACTTCAGCATATCACAGAACTTGAAGATGGACATAGAATAGCATTTTATTTTCCATTTGCTAATGCAGTAGGATACTTTTTGTTGAAAATCACCTGAGTAAATATATGATTTTGCAGTGTCTTGTGCAGTATATCTGTAAATTTGGGGACATTTGTTGTATGGAAAATTTTCCTTAATGTGACTATTGATGAATAGGTTAAAAAATAAACCATTGATATCCATAAATTATCCTTATAATTATAAATAACCACAATTATCCTTAGAACACTGAAGGACAACATTGTTTATGTTTTAGGTATATTAAAGTAACACGCATTATTCCCTCCTTAGCATGAATCCAAGATTCAGTATTGAGATAGTCAATGAATTTATTTTGCAACCAAACTTACTTGTAGATGCTCAAATAGATAGCTTCAAGTACCTTCACATAGACTGAGGACTTATTTAATTTGTTTATTTAGTGTGGATGTTGTTTCCCAGTCAAAGAGTCTGAAAAATATAAGTGAATGAATTTCACTTGGTGACGATGAGTGTTTTTTCTTTAATCTAATCAAGAATTGCCTAAGGTATAGATAGCAATTGAAACCTTTGATCAGGAAGTTTTTTTTTAAACACATATTTTTATTTTAGTATTTTGAGCTAAATAAAATACAACTGTATATAGTTTGATAGTCACTCTTGGGAAATCATACCCATTTAATCCTAAGAATTTAATTCTAAGAATAAATGTAAAAAAATTATTTTCTTCCTTTTTCATTGTGTTTTTTTCAATTAAAAATGTATCATTTTTACCTAGAAATATCTTTCAGATTATAGTGGCACAATGAAATAAGACCCCCTCCAAATATCTGTATTCTTTCAAATTTAAGAGTGAGTCTTTGCGGCAACTGAGAACAAAAGAACAAGAAGACGATCTAACAAGTCAGACCTTATTTGTTCTCAAGGATATGAAGATCCGGTTTCCAGGCAAATCAGATGCAGAATCATTACTTCTGGTGGAAGATGTGAGTATTTGATATATATAAAACTCAAAGGAGCTCACCTATTTATTCTTAGAATATTAAAATTTATTTCCTGATGGCATTATTCTCAATGACATAGTAAATTTAATTGATGTTCTTTTCAACCTCCACAAGCTTTAGAAAATATAGCAGTTATTTTAATTAAAATTCATAAGTAGTGAGATCACATTTATAATCAGCAATGCAAAATATCTTTCAGTGTATAGTCCCATTTTAATGATGCAACTGCTTCATAAAGTGAAAATAATTCATGTTAAATAATTATTGTTTTAACAATTAAAGAAATATCAAGTTAAACCTACTTCTATGAAGATTCAGAAAGATCTAATATAGAATGAGATATAATGAAAAAAAGGGGGCCGTGGGCATAAAATATCAAGAATATTTGAATATGACACTCTGAATGGTTTTGGTCAAATTTTGAATTGGCTTATGTTGTGTATATTTTTCTTGTTACGCACACATTTGCACCACCCAGTGGAACATTCTAAAAAGGCAGAGTCCTACAATTCATATTAAATTACTTCTTGTAATTTAGAAAAGAAGGTCCAGTCATTTAAATGTTTTTGGTGAAGGAACATTTTTTTCATTTGAAGTTCTATTTCTTCATTCAAACATTATTTTCAAATTGTCATTCCTAGATAATTCCTTAGTAATAGAACTGTTTTCTGGTTTCCCTGTATTTTTTTTTTTTTTCTCAGAGAAGAAAGCACCATCTAGTGGCCAGTTATAGGATAAAAACCAAAGCTTTGCACTTCGCTTTTTCACTTTTTAGGATTCCTTCTGTCTAAAGCAACTGTCTAGAAACAAACACCAAATAAATAATAATAAAATGACTTTCTTAGTTTAAAAAATCAATAATGGCAATTTCTATTTTGTAATCATGATGTAGTTGTAACCAAAGCCCCAAATATTATGCATTGTGTTATTATATATTTTTTAAAAAGTGAAAATGGCATATTCTTTGCAAATGAGCTGCTATTTATTACAAGGGAAGAGGAAGAAAAATGAATGTTAGCTATAAAGCATTATGCTAAATATGCTTTTATTTACTTGTTATCTTATTTAATCAAATTATTTTCTAAGTATAGCCAATGACTATGTACCAGACATTTTACTTATACTTTTTAGAGATACAGTAAAACCTTGGATTGCGAGTGACTTGGTTTGTGAGTGTTCCATAAGATAAGCAAACATTTCTAATACATTTTAACATGGTAAATGAGCGATGTCTTACAATATGAGTGGTTTGTTTCCAGAACGAATTATGCTCGCAAACCAAGGTATTACTGTATTAGGTATATACCACCTTTTTGAATCAAGTAGAGGAAAAATTAGATAATAAGAGAGTAGAACTAATATTTGTTGCTAATGTTATTCTATAAAGAACATATATAGGCTTATATAATTAATAAAATAGTTAATAATTAAATCAGACATTAGATTGTTAATGATGTGTTCACTATATACAGCAAATATTTTAATGCTTGCTACAGTATATATTACTAGAATATATATACAGAAAATTTGCATATTTGCACAAAAACAAAACAAAGGGATAAGAGAATCAGAATTATATATAGGCTATTTTCTAATGTATTATTTGATATTATTATGGGTGATGTGGTACAGCTTTTGGAATTAAAATGAAAAATCTACGTTTTGGGCTTTTTTCCAAACCTTATGTGCCTGAAGACGTTTGACTTTCATTCATTAGAGATTGTATGCTCTTTACAGCAAGAAGAGAAAGCTTCAATTTAGATACCATCTTTACCTTATGTTAGAAATCTTTCACATATCTTTTTAATGAAAGTAGACATTCTTTATTGCAAATAATGTAATGCTTTCATTTCACAAATTCATTAATAAAATTGGTTTCAACTGATTTATTTACTTTTTATTTGTAACTTTTGAGGAAAATTCTAGATTAAATTTCTTAATGTTTCTCCCTCACAACAGATCATTGATAACTGGAAGTATCATAAAACAAAAGTGGCTTCATATTGGCTCATAAAACTGGACTCTGTAAAACAGCGAAAAGTGAGTAATGTTCCCCAAAATAGTTTGCCCTTTTGAATTATGTATTAAGCCAGGCTCATTAAGCCACAGTCATAGTCAAACTATATATATACATGTTCATTTGTTTACACATTTCTTCAACAGGTATTTATTGCATACCTACTATGTTTTAGGCATTAGTCTAGGTTCTGAGGATATAAAAGTGAATTTAAAAAAAAAAACATGATCTAACAGAGCTTACAAAAACTGGAATGGAGCAGGTTCAAGAATGAAAGGTAGAGAGGAATGAAATACAGCTAGAACAGGCATTTTTTAAAGGAATTTTGCTGTATAGAGGAAAGTGAAATGTGGTGGTAGCTGGTTGGAGTTTGCCCCCGTATGCCTCTGACACCCCTGAGTCACTGTCCTTTCACTGGATCCCAGGGTGAGTGCCTATGATTGAGTCAGTCTGTGTGGGGTCCCTTTAAGAGGACATCTGGGTTTACTGCAGCCTTCTGTCCCATCCATATGGTTGGAATCCCCACTGTTTTTCACGGCCAGGTGTTGTGGGGGCTCCTTTCCTGGCACCAGTACTCTGGGCTGAGGAACCCGGTGTGGGGCTAGGGTTCCTCACTCCTTTGAAGAGAGCCTCTGTGGCTGAGATATTCCTCCTGATTCTCAGTGGCGACATGGAGTTTTCGGAACAGTCCATTTCATGTCTCCACCCTTCCTACAAGTCTTGATGTAGCTTCTTCTTTATAACCTTGGTTATACAACTTCTGTTCATCTAGACTTCAGATGGTTCCCCAGGTTGAGTGTTCTATAATTTAGTTGTAATTTTAATGTGTTCATGGAAGGAAACAGGCACAGTGTTTATCTACTCCGACATCTTGGATGTCTCTCTCAGATAACTGCACTCTTAGAAGCAGGTTGATTCAAATGGCATGTCCCCATGGCTGCCACAAAGGCTGTGTGGGATGTTATTTAATTTGACAAACATTTATTGGTTGCCAGTTGTTTACAAGAATTATGCTAGGGGGCCAGCCGAGTGGTGCGATGGTTAAGAACTGGCTTGGGATGCCAGAGAGCCCCGGTTCGGATCCCACATATGAGGGCCAGTGACACTGCCCTCTACAGCTAAGATGCTGAACAACAGCTCAACCTGGAGCTGGGCTGTCTGAGTCGCCGGCGATGGCGTAGGCTGCAGCCCCTGTGGCAGTGGGTTGCCATGGGCTACCGTGTGTAGCCAGCAGCCGCCATGAGCAGCCATCCAGAAGCTGGAGACTGATCTGCCTCACCCGGGAAGAGCGCAATGAGGTGCCAACTTGGGCCAGTGAAGCAACGTCCTCCACAACTAGACTAAAGAACAAAACAACAGCAACTTGTCTGTTCCCCTTCCCCAATTCCCCAGCGCTGTTCCCATTCCCCAATTCCCCAATTAAAAAAAAAAATCTTTAAAAAGAATTATGCTAGACACTTTTGTAGATTTGGAGAGTTTTTTCTTCATTTATTTATTTGATTATTCAAACATGCATCGAACAATATTAATTGAGGTATTACCGTGTCCCAAGCACTATTCTAGATGTGGAATGCGCAAAATTTATTTAAATCTCTTAATTCCATTTAGAGATCATTGTTGAAATGATCTGTTCCATGATGGAAGAATTTGCTGGTTGCTCATTAGAATGTCGTAAAGCTCTAAGATTACAATGCCATACACACAAACTCTTGCATGTACCTCATTTCAAATTTTCCTTAATGGCTGTAAAATTTAAAGGTCAAGGATATAGGAAGTAAATACTGAAAAGCATTTCACGAGGTGAAAATGCAAATAGCTAATCTTATTTATTGTCGTGTTGCAGCAACTCCACACTTGAATAATTTAGCTTTCTGCCAAGAATGCAGTTGTTTTATATAGTTTCTAAGGAATATATATGAAGTATGAAAATATTGCAGTGTTGGTGGTTTGTGAAGAATCCCAAATTTGCCAAAAAGTTTGTTCTCTGATGTGACATCTAGGCATAAACTAAGATTGGATGATGACAAGAAATAAGTAATGATATTAGTTATACTATATTTGCATGTACTGGGTTGTTAGAAAAGTCATGACTATTTTTTCTATGTTTTTCATTGCAAAAATGCATCAAGACTTTTCCAACAACCCAGTATTTTAGGGTTCTAAGAGATCCCTGCTTATCAAGTATTTTTTCTCTTAAACAGCCATTTCTTTTTAATACCCATTGTGGTTGCTTCTGCATGCATTTTGATGTTGTTATTTTCCATCTATTTTTCATTTGGACTAACATAGATGCTGTACAGAGCTGATTGTTTTGCATCAGAAAGATGCCTTTACTTTGTTTGTAGCCATGGCTGCTGCATGCATCATTAGTACAGCATGTAGTAATTTTAATGTTATTTCTAAACCTCCCTCACCTCGTGCCATTATTTTAACTTAAGACCAACTGTTCAGCCATATGGAGCAGTTTGTCATTCAGCTTCTGTATGTTCTTATAAAATACAAATTTGTGTACTATATTTTATATGGAAAAGACAAATCTTTTTATTTTATTAATGTTTTCATTGACTGAATCTCCCATTTATTTTTTCTCCCTTGGAGAGCTTAATGTTGAATTGGGATGCTTTTAAAAGTCACAATGTCAAGAAGTGGATACCTATAGTCTGCAGTGGTTCTCAACCTGTGGGTCGCGACCCCTTTGGGGGTCGAACGACCCTTTCACAGGGGTCGCCTAAGACCATCGGAAAACAAAAAGATATTTACATTACGAATCATAACAGTAGCAAAATTACAATTATAGAGTAGCAACGAAAATAATTTTATGGTTGGGGGTCACCACAACATGAGGAGCTATATTAAGGGGTTGGTCTATAGGTTTGTCTCACTTGGATCCACAGGTAAACACAAAAGACACCTTGCTGACCATTTGCTTTGGTGTTTCACAAATTATTTCTCTTCCATACATTTTGTTCAACCCCAAAGCATCCAGAAACCCAAAATAGCATTACAAATAAAACTGGCACTAATTTACTTCATCCCAGTCTGATTTTTGAGTGCCTGCTCTCTGCCTTCCTGAAGTTATTCAGTGGGTGTTTTCCTAAGGGTGCAGCCATTGTCTCCCCATCTGTGTAGCCTTTGAAACAAACTAGTCCCTCCCTACTCCAGGGTCCTGGTGGACAGGGTGCCTGAGCAGCCTTGCTTATGCCCAACGACCCCACCCACCTGCCCAAGTATTACTGGACTAGAGGTGAATTTGAATCTAAGAATAGACTATTTGATTCTCTTCTAGGATTTTGCTGTTTGCACCTAGACAGATGAGATTAATTATGAGGTGTTAGGTAGTGGTTAAGAGCATAAATAGGTGTGGCTACACAGCTGTCCATATGTTAGCTGTGTAATCTTAGCTAAGTTACTTATCTACTCTATGGCTGAGTATTCTCATCCATAAAATAACATCCAAAATGCCATAATTGATTAAATAATGACTGTCTTCATTAATTAAACAGGAAATTAAAGTGAAATGAGATATTACTATTAGGGAAGACCTGGGCATTAAGGGGTCAACCATATAATAGTTTAGCAGCAGGTAAAAGTCTCCCTGAAGAAGTGATATTTGAGGTAAGATATAGAAATTCACCAGGTGAACAGCTAGGGGAAGACTGTTCCATGCAGAGGAAGGAGCTAGGTGAAGGCTCAGAGAAGAGATGAGGCATTTGAGTTCTTGCTCTCTTCATTTGCACATCCTCATGCCCTCCAAATTACAGGTCCCCCAAACCCACTCCTCTCCCACTCCTCTCCCCAGGGTCAGAGCTTGCCTCCTTGGGTGGGGGTTGGGGAGTGGAAGGTTGGGGGGCGGAGGTGGGATTCCTTTAAAACTGAAGGCAAAGAGAAGCAAAGAAGAATGTGTGTTCCCAGTAGGATGCTCTGGAAAAGAAGGAGCAAGCTCCGGGGGTGCCCAGACCATGCTGCTCTCACCAATCTGGGAAATCACTGCTCAGGCATAGATGCTGGGTGGGGCTCAAGAGGCCTGAAGATTTATCCATTTCCATGCTGGAGGAAACATTAGGAGCAGAGCAGAAGCCTTCCCCACCCCTACCTCCCTGGCCTCTTTCTGAAGTTGCTGCTTTTAGTCATGTGTGCGCTAGAATATTAATTAGACCCTCATGCTTTTAAAATCCCCCCTAAATTGAGAATAAAACATACACAGAGTAGTGGCCAAGGGAGTCTCGTCTTAAGTAATGTACCTAGTACAGGGCTTGGCGTAGAGCAGGCAGCCAAGTCATGTTAGCTGACCTTCTCGTTGGTTCTTATATATCATATGCATTTTACCAGAAAATGTATACAAAAAGAAATGAATGAATAACCTATAATCTCAAATGCTCACTTTAAAGTTGAATAATGATTTAATAATAAAATGTGAAATTAAGGTAATGTGAAAATTCCCAGTGTCCTTAGTACGTTTTAATTTCGTTATATAGAACTCATATTTATTCTTGAGGCCAGTTTATGAGTTATGTTGACTACTTCTTTTATTCTTCCTGCATTAGGACTTTTGGCCTGCTATTATTCGCTAATACATAGAAAGTAGGAAGGAAAATTAAGAGGAGAAATAATTTAAATTTGTCATTAACTGCTAGTGTTGATTCTTACATCCCATCAGTCGTGATCTGCTTTCTACATTCAGAAATATAGAGTTAAACTAATAGCTCAAAAGAAATTTGTAAAAAAAAAAGTATAAATTAATGCCTGATATTGCATATTATGTCATTATTATTGTGACTAATTCATTTTAAAGTTTTTTTTTTTAATTCCTCTCTGTAATTAAGCATTCATTATCTGTAATGACGAGCTTTTCTGGGACAATTTTCTCTCAAGACACTTGGTTACAGATTGCATTCTCTCTCCTCTTTCTCCTCCCCTTCAACTAACTCCATTCCCCTCCACCATCTGCTGTGGGGTTAACAGTACTGCCACCACTTCACAGTGACGGAAGCTGGAATAGGGAGGGAGCGAATGATGCTGCTTACACAATTCATTGTGAGATGCTGCAGTTGATACCCTTTTATAAATAAAATGTTATTTGGAAAATTTTTTATAAAACTGGTTTTAAAGAGATTTTTATTCTAATTCTGCCTTAATCAGAGATAAGTAGTATCACTTCTTTAAAGACAGCTGCTTTGAAGAGAAACAAATTCTTCATCGACTTTCAGTTGTCCATACATTTGTGCCTGTTGAGTGAAATCATATCTTCACTCATTGCCATTATGTGCTCAAGCCTCTTTCTCTTTTCACCTCTCACTCTCGTATTTACAGGCAGTTCCTTTAATTAGATAAATAAAATAAATTAAAATAAAATAAAAAGTGAAAAATCTACTTTGGTGAACTGAAATTAGAATAACTATTTCTTGCTATTTACTTTTTTTTTTAAGAGTTTTGTTGGAAATACTGGTGATGCATAAGTATTAAATACATGTGAACTAGAGAAAGTACCTTTTTGGGGTTCACACATTTTTGGAACCTCTAGAACTCTGTCTAGAATTAGTAGTCCTCATTTCATAATGCTCTCATTAAATTGTCCATCTATGGCCTGCTTTTATTTAGTGTTTCTAGTGTCATTATACCATTTGTGAACCTAATACCCAAAACAAAAGATAGGCTCTTGGCAATAACCTGTTATCTAACCATAGACTCCCCTCTATCTCCCTGGCTCCCATGTCTCTGGTAGCCATTTTCCTGAATTCATGATTCACCAGTTCCTTGCTTTCTTTCTTTATGTATTATTATATCTATGTGTATTCCCCATAAGTTTTTAAAAATTTAGTTGTTTTTATTTGCATTATTAAAAGTGTCACACTGTACGTAATCCCTGGTATGTGTTTTTTTAGCTTACCATTATATTACTAAGATGAGCTGTGTTGTTTGTTGTATTTCATTCGCGTTGAGTACTTTATAATATTCCAAGGGAGTGAGTATAACAGTCTTTATTTATTCACTGTCTCCTTGATGAAGCATAGGGCTGTTCCCAGGTGTTTAGAATTGTGAACAGCTATTTGACATTGTTGTGCATGACTGTTGTTTTTAACCTATGAGAGAGTTTCTAGGTCACAGGGTATGTGAATGTTCAACTTTAGGAGATAATGCCAAGCTATTTTCTGGAGTGACTGCACCAATTTGTACTCCCACCAACAATTTCTAAGAGACACCGTAGATCCCTATCTCTCTAGCACTTAGTATTGTCAGACTTTAAATTTTTGTCAATTAAATGGACATGAAATGATATTTTATTATGGTCTTAATTTTTATTCTTTATGTTTATTGGGAATATTTATTTTCTCTTTTGTTCCTGTTCATTTGTTTTTGTCCGTTTTTTCTATTAAGTTGTTGGTGTATAGTAACAATTTATTAGGCATTCATTATATATTCCTGATACTAATCTTTGGTTGAATGTATATATTCAAATGTATTTTCTCAGTTGGTAATTTGATCTTTTATTTTCTTTAAGGTATCTCTTGATGGCCAGAAGTTCTTAATTTTAATATAATCAAAATCTATCAATCTTTTATGGTTCCATACTTTTTTGGTGACTTAAGTAATGTTTTTAACCCAAGGTTTAAAATATACTCATCAATACTTTCCACTAAGAAATTTAAAGGTTTATTTTTTAAACTTAAGATCTTAATCACTCTAGAGTTAATTTTTATTATTGAGTGAAGTAAAGATTCTACTTCTTTTTTTTCATAAAGATTGCTATTTTTAAAATCCCTTTTGTTGATTTAATTTTAATTTAATTTTACTTTTAAATTTAATCTCTTCTTTCTAGTCTGACCTGCCACCTATGTCATATACCAAAGTTTAATGAATGCATAGATTTATTTCTGAGCTTTTTATTCTGTACTTTTGTTCAGTTAGTGAGTGAATGAGTTAGTGTGGGTATGTGTGTGTATTCATTTTGAAATTATTTTTATTTTTGAATTTGAGACACACACATACACCTAGATTTTGAAATACTTTGGTTTTCCCACTAGGTTTTGGACATAGTAAAAACAAATATTCGTACAATTCTGCCACGTATCTGGAAGGTACCTGATGTTGATGAACTAAATTTATATAGGATTTTTAACCGGGTTTTTAATCGCTTACTCTGGAGTCATGGCCAAGGATTGTGGAACTGTTTCTGTGATTCAGGGTAAGTCCTAAGTTATCTTTTATTATTGTCATTTTAAATATTTTGCTATTAGTTACAGAGGTAGCTCAATAAAATGGTTAAGTTTCTTGAATAATCTCTAAAAATATGGACTTTTTTCTGTGTGTAATTTTTAGTACTCAACTATAATTTATAGCAGTTAAGCTAATTTAGATGAGATGATGAATATGAACACAGTACCACCCAACTAATTTGAATTCAGTGGAGAGAAGGTAGTCTTAATTAATGAAAAGTGTCAATATCCAAGGTTCTTCTTCTGTTGGCTTTAGGTAGCAGAATTCCAAAATTATGGCTATACTCCTGCTCCTCTCCAACATTTGAGTCCTGTCAAAGCTGTTGTGACTCATTATCATTTTAGCCTGAAGATATCTAAAATCAAACATTCCACACCTCCCTTTTATTCAGAAATAGCTTCTCTTTTGGACTTCCCTTAATCCCATTGTTATTTTCCCAATCATACAAGTTTAATATCTCAGGGGCATTTATATCTTCTTTTGCCTTCACTTTCTTTATTTAGTCATTTGCTAAATCCTGTTAGTTTTTCTGTCACATTCCCACTGTGGCTACTGTAGGTTGTTTTTCATTGTACTTAACAATTATCAAGTACTTCTTGCTATACTTTTGGAGATACAAAGTTGAATCTGACATAGATCCTGCTTTCAAGAAACTTAAAAAAAATGGTAATAGCTACATTATACAACTCATTACGGGCCAGGCATTGTTCTAAACACTTTACATGTATTAAGTGGTTCAGTCCTTATAACATCATTTTGAAGCAGATTCTCTGATTGTCTCCATTTTATAGACAAGGAATCTGAGGCACAGATAGGTGCTAAGGTGCCTAGTGCAACTGGGATTTGAACTCAGGGAGCCTGGCCCCAGAGTTCATGCCCTTAACCAATAAGCTCTGCTGTCTCTAGTAGACAAAATAAGATATACACAAAGTAATGATTATAAAAGAGACAGATATAAAGTATTATAGGATTTTTGAAAGGTGGAGTCTGTTTGGTAGAAGGGCTAGGTGAAATTAATAGATTTCTAGGTATTTTTGCCTCCAGTTTTTTTGTTGCCCTTTATCATCCTATTGTCAGACTCATTTCCTAAATCTGTAGTCATTTCCCTCATTTATCATTAAAATGTAGACTTCTTATTTAGACAAGACTCTCTAATGTGCTGGCTCTTTCTTAACTTCTACAACCTTTTCATTATTCTCCTACTTGAACTCTGTTCCAGAAAAACGAACTCATTATTTTTCAAATATCTTAAAAATGTGCCCTTTTCCTTCTCTGAGCTGTTGACGTCTTTGAGTATCTAATGGGGCTGCTTCTAAACTCCATTCCTCCAATCCCCACTGCGTTATTTAAACCCTATATAAAGACCCAGACTGTACGCTTTTTTGGTAAAGCCATAGCGGACTATTGTAGTCTGAAATGATCTCTGAATGTCCTCCATTTAAATGTTCTAGTCATCTCGTACTGAATCATTCATACCATTTGCAGACTTATTCTCACCGCCGTAATTTTCCTTAGCTGCCATTCACCAACAGGGAGAATTCATACGGTACTCTGAGTTGTGAAGAAATCTGAGAATAATCTTGGCTTTAATTTGTTTCTACAGAGACTTAAGTGAAACATTTGAACTGTACTCCATGGCCCTTTAGTTGATGTTGAAGTTCTCTCAATGTGAACTCACAATTGGAATTTTTTTCTTCTATTTATTGATCCATTGGTTGGAATGTTATATATGAATCCCAGCTACTCTCTACCATTGAAGGCAGTGAGACAGTCTGCTACTGAAATTGGTCCTGATGAGTCCATTCGATAATCTCCAATGGCAGACCCTAAAGATGCTCATAAAGTGGTGGTTCTTTGCTTCTAAGGACCCTCTTCCCTGAGCTATTGTGGTTATATAACTCTTAACCCCAACTAGGTATAAAATCTTCAGAATCCTTTTCTCTTGTTCCTGGCACAATACTCTGCTCAATTTTCTCTGGTGGTATCCATTACCACTAGAAATAGTGATGAGAGTAACATTTACTCAAGGTTTCTAAGTGCCTGACACTGTTTTACATATTAAATGTTTTAAATTAATTTTTAAATTTTTTCAGTTACGATTAACATTCAATATTATATTAGTTCCAGGTTAGACAGTTATATAACATACGAGGTGATCCCTCTGATAAGTCTAGTATGCACCTGACACCATACATAGCTATTACATACATATTAAATATTCTTATAGTCACCACTACAATATTTTGGGTAACGTATTATTATTATTATTATTCTCATTGTGTAGATAAGGAAATTGAAGCATAAAGAGAGTGTACAACTTGCCCATGTTCTCATAGTAACTAGTTGAACCTGTATTTAAACCCAAGCCTCCTGAGTCACGAACCCAAGTTCTTAACTCTGCTTTATTGAGCTTCCTTAAAGCAGCTTTGCCTGTGGTTACCAAGCTTGCTTTATCAAGTCCATTGCATGAGCCAAATCCCCAGCTGATTGGACCTGGGCTCTGGAGCGGGAGTAGCTTTGAGTCCAATTTAATCTCCACTTTTCATCCATTTCTTTAAAAACTTGGTGGTTTTAGAGGTGAGTTTAGTACTAGATTTTATTTTGCAGCTTTGCAAATACATGTCTTAGGCTTCCTCAATTTAATGAGATTACTTGGTATTGTGTGCATGTTATTCTCAAATTGGACCCACAATAGTTCTACTTATCTTTGGATCATGTCTAGTCAGTGTGTACTCCTTTAACTTTGGCCTAACAGCCTAGTAGTAAAGGTAAAAATCTACTCTTAGCTCTGTTCTAAAGGAAAGATTTTAATGAAAGGTGCAGCTATCTTTCACAGTTAGGTATGTAATCATGAAAAAATATAATCCAAATAACTCTGGGTCACCTTGATTCCTGCCTTTACCTGTCATTACCACAAACTAAGTAAAGAAACCATTGCCTGTCCACATGTAGAAATACCAAAAAATATTGTAGCTATTTGTGGCAGGTTTCGCTAGAATTGGCCTAGTGGTTTCACTGATACATCACATATAAAACCCATTCACCTCTCTCTGTTGCTCCTCCAGGCTGTTAAGTCCATGCTCAGACACCCTTTTTTTCATCACATGTAGACTCCTGGCGTTATGATGCCCCATATTCTGGCATTCTCTCCAGGGGAATAGATCTTGGAATAATCCACCATGTTTTACTGGGATAGGGGAAGTCTAGGTGCTGTGGGACTCAAACAAAGCCTGAGAGCTCAGGAAACATGGCCAAGGGAAGTAACATTTCAGCTGAGATGTGCAGGAAGAGGAAGAATAGGAATTCGCTAGTAAAGAGGAGGATGCAGCAAATAGTGTGGGAGAAGGAATACTTTGTTTAGAAAAGTTCTCTCCACTCAAAACCCTAAAATATGAAACTCAAAGAAGAAAATCTGAGGGCAAGAAGAAATTGTAAAGAATATTCTAAGGCAGTCTGCTTCTGGGTTGAGTTATATGCCTACTTGAAAATGTATCTATAACATGTGGACTATTTCAAATGATGTTAGTCTTATTGTCCTCATGTCACTTTAATTTCGATGTATTGTTGTTAGTACTTTTTAGCTCATTAATCTTTCTGTTGCTGATTATCCAGTTGGTATAGTCTAGATGTTTTGTTTTGTTTTTTTTACCTTCCCTTCTCCCTTCTTGTACTTAACTTTGGGCCACTCAGTTATCCATTTGGACTTCTCCCAGAGAAGAAAAAAAGAATCAATTTCACTTTTTAGATAGCTGCTTTATTAAGTGTTTTGATGCGAAAGGAGGTGAAAATTATTGAATTTACTGATTTATATGAAGTTTTTGAAGTCTTGGGATTGATTTCATTAATAACTTCCCTTTGTTGCCAGAGGTATTCAGTATTCCGTATCTTATTGTTATATTACTAAAAACAAAAATGTCATTAAAAGTCATTTCCTTTTATATTTCTTTGAGGATTAGGGAGTGCCAGAAAGAACTTTTTAACCATTTATTTTTCCCTTTTGAACTCATGGATTTTGGCCCTTCCATGTCCTTGGAATTTAGATTCAGAAAACAAAACATATAAGACTCTGGGTTCTTTCATAAAGGCACTGGTATTTTTAATTATTTCTGCATCCTTTCACTACTTTAAAAATTGTGTGTTGGTATTGAAAATTGTGATTCTGTAGTGTTCCAGAGGCATTTCACATTTACTCAGCCATGCCAAGGTGGTGTTTAGGAGGAGGGGGACTAAATTTGAAAGATGAGTTTCCTTTGTGCAGAGGGGTTGCCATTAGCTTACTACCAAATGAAACAAATTCTGTTTATTTCCATTTTTCTTTTTTTAAATTTTTCTTTTTTATTGTTAGTTTCAGGTGTACAGAACAATGCAATAGTTACCCTTTTCACCCTCACAAAGTAACAACCCCCCCATGTACTGCCCTCCCACCCCCAATATCATGCTTATCTATTACAATTCCATTGATTCCATTTCCACTCTCTACTCCATGTCCCGTGACTATATGCATATATAATTATAGTTGACATACAATATTATTCAACATCAGCTTCAGAAATACAGTGCGGTGGTCAGGCCTCTACACCGACTATGAAGTGGTCTCCCCAACAGGACATGAGTCCATCTGGCCCCCTAAGAAATATTTACAACATTATTGATTATATTCCTCAGACTGTCGTTTTCTATCCCTGAGGCCATATTGCAATTACCAATTTGTATTGTCTCATCCCTTCCCCTTCTCCTTCATCCCCACCCCCCTCCCAACTAACAACCCTCAGTTCTTCCTCTGTGTCTCTGAGACTATCTCCATCCACTTCTTCCATCCATTCAGTTCCTTAGAATCCATGTATAAGTGAGATCATATGATATTTGTCTTTCTCTGACTGACTTATTTCACTTAGCATAATGTTCTCTAGTTCCATCCATATTGTTGCAAAGGGTACTATTTCCTTCTTCTTTATAGCTGAGTAATACTCCATTGTGTAAATGTACCAAAGTTTCTTAATCCAGTCATCTACCGATGGGCATTTTGGTTGTTTCCAAGTCTTAGCTATTGTGAATAACGCCGCAATGAACATAGGGGTACATATATTTTTTCAGATTAATGTCTTGGGATTTTTTGGATAAATACCTAAGAGTGGGATTGCTGGTCATAAGGTAGTTCCATTTTCAGATTTTTGAGGTACCTCCATACTGATTTCCATAATGGGTGCACTAGTCTGCAGTCCCACCAGCAGTGCACCAGGGTCCCCTTTTCCCCACAGCCTCACCAGCATTTGTTGTTTGTTGATTTATTGATGATAGCCATTCTGACCGGGGTGAGGTGGTATCTCATGGTGGTTTTTATTTGCATTTCCCTAATGCTAAGTGATGTTGAACATTTTTTCATATGCCTGTTGGCCGTCTGTATGTCCTCTTTGGAGAAATGTCTCTTCATATCCTCTGCCCATTTTTTAATTGGGTTGTTTGTTTTTTTGGTGTTGACTTGCATGAGCATTTTATATATTTGGGATATTAATCCCTTATCAGATATATCATTAACAAATATCTTCTCCCATTCAGTAGGCCTCCTTTTTGTTTTATTGATGGTTTCTTTTGTTGTGAAAAAACTTTTAAGTTTGATGTAGTCCCATATGTTCATTTTTTTATGAGGGGTTCTGGTGTGTTGGCACTTAAGAATAGATAATAGAATAGAATGTGGCCTTTGGCTAGTGGTGGTGAACATGTCCACCAAAAATAGGTAAAGGATCTTGATTCATACGTTTATTTTAAATATTTAAGGAAGAATGAGAAGCCAAAGCTGCGGATGTTATAACTTACATATTATTCAGAATGTTACATCAAATTAGAGCGTTATAGAAGAAGCTCTTTTATCTTCCATTTTATTTGTTCTTTTCTTACTTCTATACTCCAAGTCAGAAAAAGAAAAATTACCATGATGTGAGTGACCTGATACTGGATCTAATCAAATGGCTCGAAAGGATCAAAATTATAAATATATACAAATTGAGAGGAGAGAAATACCCAGAATCCCAATGAAGAGAAAAGTGCTAGGCAGACAGACAGAACACAGAATGTTTTCTGTGTGTATTTATATTTATATGAAAATTTTATTTCTCTGGGCCCAAACATGCAGGGCCTGCTAAATGAAGACATATTAATTATAAATATATTCCCTAATTAATTGATGTTCTCCAATATTTTGCTTGATCAAAATAGGTAAATTGGATATAGATATACATACATATATATGCATATATAAAAAAGTATATATTATATCTAGTTTTTCTTATATTTAGTAATAAATTAAATTTTAATTTTAGAGTTAATTTAACAAGCATATTACTAGCATGCTATTATTTAGTTCTGAACGTATTAGAACATGGAAGAAAATGTATTCATTTTAATCTACTCATTTGAATCTTATTCCTTTCAAGAAAACCCATCATTCACTGATGTCATACTATCTTTTGGGGACCACGTTTCTCCTGAAAAAATAAACAGTAGCCTTTCTATGAAAAAATACCTTTTTGAGTTTCTAAAGCATTTTTTTAAATTCCAAAGAGATCAAATATCTACAAAAGATTGAAAATGGAGTCTTTGAATTTCCCATTGGGAAGTACATTTCTTCAGAAAAATATTTTTTTTAAGATTTTTTTCTTTCTGAAAATCTTCTCTTTTCTCTCTCTGAGGGTTAAGTGAATTGGTTTATGTAAAATGAGACTTGAATCATTACCAAGTCTCAAACCAAACTTTCCCCTTGAGGCTTGAAAAGAGTTTCGTTTACACTAAAGAAATAAGTCTCTCTCACTCTCTCTCTCTCTCTCTCTCTCTCTCTCTCTTTCTCTCTCTCTTTCTCTCTCTCTCCTCCTCTGTTCCCCTTCCCTCCCTCTTTCCCTCCCTTCATCCCTCCTCACTTTCCCTCTCTTTTCTCTCTTTTGGTGGTGGGGTGATGCGGTATTTCCTGATTTGGGCCATGACAGTAAACTTAGGAATTGTAACCCCCCCCCAACAAACAGACACACACACACACACACACACACACACACACAATTGAAATTTACCTACAACACGCGCACTACTGCGTGACTTGGTATAAGCTGAGCGCACTAAAGGCGGGAGAATGCCACCTTTGGGATTGCAGTAGGGCAGTGCGTATTCAGATAACATTACGTCTAGGGCACAGAACCTGTGCTCTGGGCATATCATAGACATAATTACATCTGAAAGTGTTTTGAAAGGGATGGTTATAATCAAGGGATTAACCTAAATTCTCCTAGTGCAATGAGGTGACAAATTAAGTTGCAGCAACTTTGTAATACTTTTATGGGATTATTATTAATGTAAAGGTGAATGAATATAGCTTCCTAGAAACGTAAGTTCCTACAATATCTAACTTTTGAGAAATTAGCTCAGTATTTTACAAATGCATTAATATAGAGTAACTCACGTTTTTAGGAGGTGTTGGGAAACCATTCTGTCAGCTACACATAGTGGGCAGCAGTAAAGTCTTTAAAGACAGTTAGTCTATGAATTCTATATTGGTTTTTAATGCAAAGATTAATTTCAAAATATGTATTTATTTGTCTTTCACCCATCTCTAGTCACTTCAAATGTGTGAGCCCGTTTCTACTTTTTCTTATTGCTTCATTGCTCGGTAAGTGATATAGCTGGTTGCCATTTTGATCAGCCTCATGAGGTCATGTCTGTTTCTATGCTAACAGATCCTCTTGGGAGAGTATTTTCAATAAAAGCCCAGAGATGGTGACTCCTTTGCAGCTCCAGTGTTGCCAGCGCCTGGTGGAGCTTTGTAAACAGTGCCTGCTAGTGGTTTACAAATATGCAACTGACTCAAGAGGATCACTCTCAGGCATTGGTACCGATTGGGGTAATTCCAGGTACTTTTTTACATTCCCTAGAATCTGTGAGTTTTATATGATGTAATGCCACAATGCAGTTTGAAATTGAAAGTCTCTTTTTGTTTGTATGGCTAGAGCAAAAGCTAAAGGCTGAAAACTCATACGTACTATTATCTACAAAATGCTTTTAATTTATAATCTTTATCTTTAAAGGACCGCACAAACCTGAAGGTGACAGAAATAGCTATCCTGTATGAAAATGTGATTATTTGGTTTCCATACATTTGCTTTCAAAAAGTCAAGTAAGAGCAATAAAAAAATGCTAAGAAATGTATTTATATTTCCCCAGTAGGGATATTTAAACATTTTTCCTTCAACCTAACAGTTGAGAAGATGCCTTTAGTTTATTTCTTATTGTTCAGTATGCATCTACTACACCCTTCAGAACCAAACAAATCAGTGGGAGGTGAATTTTGTTAAGTTGTATTTAAAAATTGAATTTTTATAAATATTGTCCAGTGATACTAGGTAGTTTTCCAAAAGCATAAAAAATAGTAGTTTTTAAGTTGCAAAAAATATGCAGAGTAAGCAAGAAGTACATTTTAGTACTTCTCAAGACAATCATAGTTTCCATTAGAAATAAAGATGAATATGTGACTTTATTTTTAGTATATGTAAGTTGTAGTACTACTCATGATAGAAGACAGTGAACCATGACTTTGAAAAAACTTAAGTGATTGTGAAAAGATGATAGGATTCAACTAACCGTTAAATACGCGTAGACAGTAAAGAGAATGAAACCACCATAGCTTGGGTTTTCTTTTTGAAACACCTAGAAATTGATCTGTTTATTAAAAAGATCACAGGAAGTTTAAAAAAGATAACTTTCTACAAAACTGACCTGCAACAGCAGGCTTCGAATATTTTTCACAAAAAATATTGAGAGATGTATTTTTAATCTCTGCTTGTCTTGGATTCTGTTTTTATAGTCTTGTGATACGTTTAAGCTATTTTAACTCTCTCTCTGCAAACAGAAGCTGATTGATCACAACAATGGTAGAGGTAAAGTTAGCCATTTCTTTTTAAACTATGTAAATATGAAAGCTATATTCTGCAGTTTTAACGGTTTGACTAAAGCAAATTATTGAAATAAAACACATTACTTTCATTAATATTTCCATACAATTTAAAAGAACGATGGATATCTTTAAGATATTACAACATATAAATAAGAGGCTTTTTTTAAAATAAAGAATGATACTCTGTGAGCATGATCAGGAAAACCTTAAACTCCAGTCTAGGAAGGATGGTTTTAAACTCTTTAATGTCATTCTTGCAATTCCAGATTTTATAACCATTTTTTGTGGGGGGAATCTTATAACTTTTGGGAGTGGGCAAAATAGGCTTCCTGGTTACACTGGAGGAAGAGGTTGTACCTTACAGTTACTTCAGGCCATTTTATTTTATTCTTATCTGGTGGTCAGAAGAGATATTCCTGACCCTAAAATCTTGAGTTTTGGACTTATGATAAATACTCAGTATAACCCCAGTATGGTGATTTATAAGTGTTTTGGTGGTGGTTGGGAGGTTGTCAGTTAACACACCCTTTACTCCTGCCCAAATTCTAAACCATTTGATAGAGAAATGTAGGCATCAGACAGATGATCATCAAAATGGAGCTTTAGTACTAAGAAAAGCTACACCGAGGAACGCGGTGTAGATGTGAGCCAAGTGAGTTTTGTAATACTGAATGTCAGAACTAAATGTACCCATTCAGTTAAAGGAAGAGCTGGATCAACCCAAACCTTCCACTAGCACTACCTCATAAAGCCTAATTCTGTTTGCATTGGTAGAAAAGCAAGTAGGTAGGCTGTCTTCAGGTAGGCTGACCCAAAAAAAGGGGCTGTGCCAAGCCCCCGGTTTCTTTCTTTTAAACCGGCAAATCACATAACTCATTTCTGGTAAGATGCCAGAAAGTTTCCACTGGTGGGAGTTCTTCTACATAGAAACACAAGGAAGAGAGAGAAATAAACATGTTCTCCTAATATCTGGCTATTAAAACCCAAGTCAATGTCACATTTATTTAAATATATGGGAAAAGTGGCCTTATCTTCTTTCCCTTATAAATTAGGAACCTATACTATAGCATTTTAATTAATATGTAGAAGCCTCTTAATTTGGTATTTATTAATATATTGATAAATTTCATTTATGAAGCATACTTAATAAAATATAAATTATATATAAATATCTATGAATAATCCTAATATAAATAATTTATGAGGTATACCTAAATACTTTATGATGAGACATATATTTGGCTACTGTATCTGTAAAATTGAGAAGAAAATAGAGCTAATAACTTCAGTCAGGTTTATGATCATGTGTATCCTGATCAAATATCTATAGGATATTTCTTAACAGACTTTAAAGAATATATGGCACCTATTACATGGAAGGAAGCAGCCTTCAACCTTGAAATCTCAGAAAAACAATAATTTATAGGCACACCAAGTAAAAAGCTATTTCTCAGAGGTAGACTCATAACTAAGCACCTACAACTGATGTATAAACTCAGATGGTCATATATATATATATATATATATATACATACACACACACACACACACACACACACGTATACGTATACATACACATATGTATCGTACTCCAAACACTTTCTAGCCTCAGCATCTCTGTGTTTCTATCTTTCATGCACTGAGCTTCCATACAATCTTATGTCACGGAGTGGGGGTGGGGGTTTCATGGCTAAAAATATGTTTAAAAACCACTGAGTTAGAACTTCTGCCTTTGGTAACAAAGCACTAGGTATTTGGACAAATCACCCCTCTGATGACAACTAGCATATGGCAGAGGTGGGCCTTGAAACTAAGGTTCTCCCACCAAAAAAAAAAAAGTCAAGGTTCAAATACAGGACAGTGCACACCCACTAGGATGGCTATTAGAAAAAAAAACACAAAATAGCAGGTGTTGGTGAGGATATTGAGTAGTTAGAACTCTTGTGCATTGCTGGTTCAGAATGTAAAATGGTGCAGCTGCTGTGGAAAACAGTTTGGCAGTTCCTCAAAAAGTTAAACAGAATTAGCATATGACCCAGCAATTCCACTCCTAGGTGTCTACCCCCAAAAATTGAAAACATGGACTTAAATAATAGAAACATTGTTCACAATAGCCAAAAGGTGAAACCACCCAAGTGACCATCAACAGATGAATGGATAAATAAAATGTGGTATGTACATTCAGTGGAATATTATTCAACTTATATAAAAAGCAATGGCATTCTGACACGTGCTACAACATGGATGAACCTTGAAAACATGCTAAGTGAAGTAAGCCAGACACAAAGGGCCAAATATAGTATGTTTCTACCTATATGAAGTATGTAGAATAGACAAATTCATAGAGATAGAAATAAGAATAGAGGTTACTAGGAACTGGAAGAAGGAGGAAATGGGGATTTACCGTATTCCCCCATGTATAAGATGCACCCTTTTTCGAACAATTTGGGGTCTAAAAACGGGGTGCATCTTATACAGTAGTTGTAGATTTTTTTACTTGCATTTCCCATGGAGGACAAGGCAATATATGAAGACAGTGATTCATCATCAGACACAGATGAGGACAAGCTAATGGTTGGGCGTTTTGACAGTGATGAGGAGTTGTATGAATTTTATGATGAATAAAACGAGTTCAATAACTTTATGCGATACATTTTTTTTCAAATTTTGGGCCCCAAAATTAAGGTGCGTCTTATACATGGGAGCGTCTTATACATGGGGAAATATGGTAGTATTTAATGGGTACAGAGTTGCTGTGTGGGATGATCTGAAAGTTCTGGAACTAGATAGTGGTGATGGTTATACAACCGTTGCAAATGCACTTAATACACTGAATTGTACATTTAAATAGTAAAACTAGTAAGTTTAATGTTATGTACATTTACCACATTAAAAAATCAACAAAAAACACAGGACAAATATCATGATGAACTTTATTTACCTTGTGTTTCCCAAACCAGGAAGCTGACTTGATTCTGGTCTCACTCCAGGAAAATCTCAGAAGGGTGGTGTAGCTTAAGTTTTCAAGGCTAATTCCCAACGGTCTTCATTCTCTAGAGATCCTTCATGGTCAGCAATAAGTTGGTACATGACAGACCAACCAATTCTTCATCAAGCAGGAATTATGACAAATGCATATTTTATGTCTGTTATACGCTGGATATGTGAAGATATGTAGACCTGGTCTCAGAGATGAGTTAGGGTATGCGTGTGAAGCAAATAAGGTGGTGTGAGGCATTTCCCCTTAGTATGAATTAGCTACAAGTTAGCTATTTTTGTACATCAAGAATAAGCTAGAATAAAAATAAAGCTGTAAAGTTTTCATATTTTGTGCTGCTTTAACACAAACTCTTTAGATATAGTCTATAAATCCACTTCCTAGAGATATTCTTTCTGCTAAAAAATCAAATTTATTATTTAACTTTGTTGCAGAGAACATTTTAAAAATAATCTTTGATATTTAGCTAGTGTGGGATCTCCCAAGAGATACTAGTGGAGATATTAAAGCAAATAATCCACTGAGTTTTCCTGTAATACTTTAAAATATCCCACAACATTTGCTTTAGGGAAGAAAGTGTTTCTTCCAGGGTGATTTCGTATGCTTTTCTGCATTCACACTGAACCTCTTTTTCTTTTCAAGTCTTAAAAATAGTTTCATGTTAGCTTTTTCTGCTTCTATTTAAAAAGTTCAGGTTTGTGGATATATAATAGTTTTCTACTTTCTAGGTTATATTTAATATTTTCAGAAATTTCTGAAAATATTAAATATATCTCTGAAAAATTAAATACTCATTTCTGAAAAAATGAGTCTATTTGTTGTATCCATTAGTTTTAAAACTGGGATTCATACAGAGAAATGACAATATATTATACGTTGGTTGCTAGGAGCACTGATGCTGGAGCTAGCCCACATGGATTTTAATCCTGGCTCTGCCACTTACTCGCTGTGTGACTGTGGGCATAGCATTTGACCCCTGCATGCTTTAGTGTATTCATCTATAAAATAAGCCTACAATAATATCTACCATATAGAATTGTTATGAGAACTGAGTTAATATTGTAAAGCAATTAGAGTACAGCTGGGCACATAGAAAACACTATTTAAATATTAAATAGTGTTAAATAAAATAGTAAAGTTAGCTGTAACTCGGACTTTGTGTTTTTATTTTTTTATCTGTGAAATGGAGAGATACTTAACTCCAAAGGATATGTGAATGTTATTGTAATGTTAATAGTAACTATTGCTTGGAAATTCTTCAAAAGAGTGTTGGTAAAAGTTAGTTTACTATGATAATTATCAATGTAATCAGGATGCATTTTCAATAAAAGATAAAATAACTCTTAACTAATAAAAAATGTAGGTTTAGATCAAACTTTTTATTTATTTTTTTGCACCTTTGCTCTAGATATAAAGGGTAGCTTTTTTATGGCAGAAGAAATAGATTAATCCTCATGACTCCACTGTCTCTTGACATAATAATTAACCCATGTAAATTATGTGAATGATATTAAAAAATAATTTGTATAATCTGTGATGTGAGTAATCAATTGTTTCATTATTTATCACCAATTGTGCCATTTTGCTTTAATTTGGTTTGTTGTATATTATTTTACTGCTCTATTAACTTAATGATTTGAGCAATTTTTTAGTTTGTGATATTAGGTAATAGATTAAGGGGATATTATTAGATAATTTATGATAAAATGATGTTTATGAATATTATAGAGAATTCTGCTATTTTAATCTAAATGCTGTATACAGTTTGATCATAATGAATCTACTGCAAAATTCATATCACACAACTATAAATGTAATTTTCCATAAATATAGTAGTTGTCAACATTATTCAATATAGAATAAGTAGCTGATAGTACCCTTGGCCCTGAATTTATGCATATCTCCATGGAACTATACTGTTGCTGGAAGATTCTGATGTCAAGTGAAAAAAATAATATAAATGATTTGATGCTCTACCATTGTTTATTTTCTCAAGACAACTGCTAATTACACATTTTTTTTCTATTGCTACTTCTGCTCTTGGAAATTCCTCATAGATATCTTTTTCTTGACTTTATAGCATATCCTTCTCATTACCAGGACTTAGACTTTTAATAGTAATGTTTATTTGCATTTGCTCATGTGGATTTCCTAGATCATTTCTCTCTAGACATATAGATTGAGATGGCCAAATGCTAATCAAAATTTTTCCAGAGGAAAACGGAGTATACAGGTGCACATTCTTATTGGCGATTCCTAATCCCAAATTTCTGAAAACTAAAAAAAAAGTAACCTATGTATTGGCAAATCTTACTTGAATGGACATGAAGTTATTTATAGTCTTTACCTGATTTATTGTGAATATTTATACATTTTACTATGGCAGTATTAATGTTTTGTTTACAGGATGCTGCCCTAAAGTCCTGATGGAGATGTTATATATAGTATATACACTTTATTGTCTTAAAATCTGGAAAATTCATGTATTCAGAAATACACTTGGCTGCAAGGGTTGCATATGACTTGTAATTGTGATTGTTTTTAGTATTCTGTAATCATATGCACTGTGTTGTCTAAGACTGTAAGGTTTATAATCTAGTTATGAATGTGAATCTTTAACTTTTTCTTTAAGATTACCCATAGTCATAATACATCAGTGAAATATTAAAATATAATTAGTGGTTCCAGTAGCCTTGAATAAAACACTGGTAATGTGGCTAGCCACTTTCTCATATCACATGTTTTTAAGAAATATTTGACTGGCTCCACACATTATTTACAAAGATGAATGATGAATTCCAAATTAACATGAGTCACATAAACAGTTTCCTAACATGTGAGTACAATGGCTCTTTATGGAATGTCTTGGAATACTAAGATCATATGTTGCTTCTATGTTCAGCCTTTTGAGTGAGGCTCTGTAACCCTTCCCACTCCTCCACCTCACTCTAGGAGAGGAAATCTTTTTATATGGATGGCATTTTTTTTTAATTAAAATTTATTGGAGTGACTGGATAAAGAAGATATGATATATACACACACACACACACACACTCACACACACAGTGGAATACTACTCTGCCATAAAAAAAAGATGAAATAGTGCCATTTGCGACAAAATGGATGGATGTTGAGATTATTATGCTAAGCGAAATGGGTCACACAGAAAAAGTCGAGAACCATATGATTTCACTGATATGTGGGATATAAAACTGAAAGCAACAAATGATTACATTGCATTGTTTTTACAGTATCATTTCTCATGGATGATATATAAATTATTAGCCATATAACATGCTAGTGAGGGATTAGTTAATCCTAATTTGCTTGTAAAAGTCTAATTTTTTAATGATTATTTTTAGGTATTTACTACCAGGAAGTACACAATTCTTCATGAGAACACCAACCTACAACTTGAAATACAATTCACCTGGAATGACTCGCTCCAGTGTTTTGTTTACACCCCGATATGGCCATTTATGAAACAGAAGGGAAGCTCGCCATGGGTTATGCATAATAGCAATTCATTTCCCCCCTAATTTAAACATGCAAAGAAAGCGACCATTAAGTGCTGTTTTATGTATATATGACATATATATTTGTGAAATATACACACACATGCACTCAACATGTATATTTATTATTATATGATAGAAGAATTAGTAGAAAATGGATATAAGACTTAACCTTTCTGGAAATGTAATAAACCATGTTAATATTGTTTACAAAAATATGTGAATGTCTAGAATTTGCTAGGTTTATAATTAATACCTTCCTACTAGAAATGTTATTTTTGCTGCAGAGTATATAAAACAGAATTGATCTGAAGATCCCATTACAGTGTTAAATTATTTTCTAGATAACACATCTTTTGACTTGAAAAAGCATTAATAGTATAATACCATATTAATTCTCTTATGTGTAGTAGCCATTTAAAATGAAAGAAAAATTAGAAGCCTGATGTTGTTGATGATAGGATTAAGTATAAAACGGGTTTATCATTACTATGGCACACTATAAAGTACTATAAAAATCCCAACCCGATTCTTCAATATTTTGATTCCTCATTGTGGAAATTTAGCTACTTATTATAATGTACATTTTCAGTAAGGATCTGGTAAGGTCACATTATGGTCTAAAATGGAAGACAATCCAGTTCGTTAAAAATAAAACATAAATTAGCTTTTATTTTTACTTTTCATCAGGAGTTACATAAAGAAACAAAAAAATGATGATGATGACAAAAATCTTTTCATATAATTTTTATATCTGATACCACTCACTTATATTTGGAAAGTATATCTCCATGGGTACTTATGGTCAAATATAACTTTTTCTGTTCTTCAGAAGTAGACGAGTTGACATTTAAAACTCATTTCAATATTATGGGATAATGCGTCACAATTATCTTATAAGTTTTTCAATTTTGAGACCAATATATATTGCAAGGTCTAACACAGAGTTTCATATTGCACCATAGAAAATAAATTGCTGCAAATAGAAGATTTTGATTACTAGGTATTATTAGTCATGGTGCACTCTTGAGAATTTTTTAAATCAAAATAGAGTGTGAAGTTCCTTTTTGTTCAAAGTTATTATGCATAAGTTTCATAGCAGTTCACTTCCTTTTTCTTACAGTTTCAAAAACAATGAGTGAGCTTTCAGTTTTCCATGAAAATATAAACAAACACTATCATTGACATGGAAATCCTTAGAAATTGCAATATTCACCTTTTAGAAGTTTGTTTAAACTTCTCGCAAAAGTTTTATTTTCTCACAGATGCTAATTATTTACAAAATTCACGAATGTTTTATCTCCATTCATTACATGAAAAGCTATTTCCAGTAAATCAAGAAATGGCCCCAAAGCAGAAGAACTGAGAAAGGCAAACTGGCCTGGTTTAATTAACAAGCTGGATAATTGGCAACCCAAAGTTGTAAGTTAGGTATACTTTGCTTTTAAGTCCATATTCTGAGACTATCTTAGGCTAAAATAGGTTATTTCCTAAATAATTGCTAGCCATTTGATTCTTTATGACTACTTAACATCCATATTCCAATAGATACCTTTTCTTGCTAGATGTATCCCAAAGAAGAATTTATTGTCCTGCTGGCAAAAGAGAAGAAAAATGTCAGGATGAAGTAAATTACTGTGTGAGCGTTTATGACTCCATTTTGTGAAATCTTAAATATGTTATAGATTTTTCATAATGTAAACATTGGAATATTACAAAATCATTATAAGAATGATCAGCAAGTAGACATTTTCATGGAGTATTTTTAGTCATTTTTCTTTTACATTCACAATTTGTCCATGAATAAGACACAATTTCAAATGTCTGGTATATGCTATCAACAGTTTGTTGGCCATTCACTTGCATTAGTTTAAATAAAAATGGTTATTTAATTTGCTAGTGTGGGTAGTTTGGGGCTTCTATCCTTAGTTATACAACAGTAAAATTTTTATTTAAGACAAAAAGAAGAATGTTCAACATGGAGATGAGCCCTCTCCCCCTAGAACAAAACACAAGCGTGCGCGCGCACACACACACACACACACACACACACACACACAAATTTAAAGTTCAAGATTAAATTTAAATGTATGAAACTACCCAACTAATTGATTAAAAATTTTCATTTCTGTAGCTATTTGTCTGCCTTTTTGTGAGCACTAGAATTTTATTGTCCACATTTGCCTATTTATACTGATCTAGTTTGATATGATGGAGTTTATGAATAAAGCCATGTACTCATTATTTATGTATACTGCCTGTATGCGGTGGTCTATGGTTGCTGTAGTGCTGATTTTCTAATGAGAAACTAAGAAGATGCAGTAATAAACTGTGGAAGTCTCTAGAGACCGTAGAAATGTTATACAGGTATAAAATATTCTGTAGTTTTTATTATAGAATTTTTATTCATGGGGTTAAAGCATATCAGTATAAGTGATAGTGTATGGGTCTGACTCTTTCTTGTAGGAGAGAAAATAACTTTATCTGAAAAACTCCAGATGCTATTCAGTCTTACGAAGAGTTTTTAATAGGGAATTTGGTTTACTTATGATGAAAGCATATTTTCATTCTGTTAATAAAAATATCCTTGATCATTCTGTAAATCTAAGATTGGCATGCTTCCTAGAAATGTGTATGATTGGAATGATTTCCAGAATTACATCGAAAGCAGCCTTTTTGTTTTAAATCATTATCTATGAGCATAGTATGAGATTGCAGATTTAATAATCCAGCGTTGTAGATTAGTTGCCATTTGTTATCTGTTGAAGGAAATACTGTGATTATTTTTTACTAGCAACACATTTAATTCTACTAGCATTTCAATTACCTTGTATGTATAAAAATGAATTTACAGCAGGATCAAATGTGGAAATGGCAGTAGTAACCTCTGCATAGAATGTAGTTGGATATCCCTGGTTATCTATAAGATGCAAAGATCTATACTAATTTTTTGTAGGTCTAAATACACACAAGGTTTCTACTAATTCCTCCTCCCTAAAACCTAAAATGAAACGAACTCAAACAAAAACCCAACCTTCTTTTCATCTAATATTTATACATAGCTAGATGACAGTGGCTTCTACACATCAAGAAAAAGATTTTATCCTAATTAATTCTTTTTAATTTGGAAAGTATATGATTATAGAATTTTATCTAACTGAAAATTTTATATGTTTTAATATAAGTTAATCCAAATATTTTCTTTAGCATACCAAAGCCATTTCGTTTAAAAATTCTTGTTAAATTTAAACATACATATCACTTGACCTTTTCAAAAGTACCAAAAAATTGATAGTTGCTTAAATGCTATTATTTCTAGTTTTCTATAAAGCACTGATTCATTCTTAAATGTTTATTCTTTTAAAAATAATAGCAAATATCTCTAGAAGAATGACAGAAAATAATTTTCAGTTTTGTTCTCTACTGCTGATTTACATTTTGAATCTTAGTTAACTTGATTCTAAGGGTTAAACAGTGAAAAGTGTAACTGCAATTAGTGTATTTCTGTGACTTGGTGATTTTTCAAAGTTTGCTTTCCTCTTTAAATGGAGAAATTTAAATTTTAAAAGACTGAATTATCTAAATATTTTGGGCAAATATTATGAATAAATTAAAGTTATAGAAATATATTCATGATCAAAATTTTATTCCTTACACTTCCCTTCCTTCCTCCTTTTCTCCCTTCCTTCCTCCCTTTCTTTTCTTCTTTTTTTTAAGTTTAAATTCTCTTTGAAGTTTTGACCTTTGCATAGACAAAGTCAAGAAAAAAGAAATTCTGCCTTATTTTTGCTTCAACAACAATAAAAGTTAGCTAATGTGTCATTGGATCTAGTTCAGTTTGTCTGCTAAGATTTTTAAAAATCAGATTGAAGTCTCTATGCCTAAAAAGTATTGTCTGGACTCATATGAACCAAGGTACATGGCTACAAATAACAGTCTTGCAAAGAAAAATTGGTATATTGAAACATATTGCACTCTTTGAGATTGCTTCCCTGTTTGGGGTGTTTTTTGTTTGCTTGTTTGTTTGTTTTTTGCCTTGTCATAAATGGGTATATGGTATATTGAAGGAAAACTATTCAGGTAACACATTCTGTATTGACTGGGCTGTATTATCGTAGAACTACATAAAACTTTTATTTTGTCTCCACTTACTAATTTGAAAACTATTGATAAAGTTGTCATTCAACAAACTAATATTTTCTAAACTAGTAAGAAGACTTACCTTACAAAAATAATCAGATACTGTTGATATTTCTCTTTCAAAGGCTAACAACGACAGTTCTTGGTCTTGAGGTGGTTCATACAATAGCTACTGTACTTGCCACAAACATCGAATATTAATCGATTTGCTGAAGATTTTGGATTTGAAGATTAGCTTGAAAGCAATACTTTTGCTACCATGAATCATGGCTCAAATTCCCATGTGCTTTACCACCTGTAGATGAATGCAAATGTTGTTACAGAAAATATGCTTGAAATGTCAACACAATGTGCAATTAGTATGGCATTTTCATGCTTCAGCATGTGATATCTGTATGGTGAAGTTATTTCAATTTCTCAGATATGTTACTATAATAAAGGATGTTTAACATAAGAAAGCTACAGTATGTCATCAAATGGTTATTTCGGCTGTACACACACACACACACACACTCAGTTTTTAGTAGTAAAAAATGATTGGCTATCAATTAAGCATTCAGGGGGATGAAATATATTTTCACAGTAATCTGTTGCTGTACAGACACTGTGGGGATAATATTACCTGCTATTAAAATCAGGTCAAGTAAACAAATGGTGTCAACTTCTCTCTTAGTTAGCTGGAAGGCATACTTTCCTAAAATTTAGAAATGACACATATCTTTTTAGCATTATTAATTGCAACAGTATTACTAATCTGAACAGAATTATGTCAGCATCTCAGCTCTGAAATTCACTTTTTTCAGGAATTTGTAATTTTATCTTTGTTAAAACATCGTACTAAATAAACCTCAGTGAGAAGCAGATCCTAGTCTTGCCATTCACACTGTTGTTCTTTAAAATGATTATATATGAAGGAATTAGAAATGTAGTAAGGAAGCATTTTAGATAAAAATCCTATCATGTGGTAGGAGCATTAATGCATGTATGCTTTACTTTTTGGAACTGACAACCAAATGGTATAAATGTTGACTTTTAAATATGTATTTTTAAATTTATTATTTTTATACAGTTAAAGTATTGTATGAAAGCTTAAAGTTGAATTTTTTTATTTCTTTTCAGTGACAAATAAAGATGAGGCCAATGTGGGTAGTTTGATATCTCCCTATTTTATGAAATAATTTCTAAGATATATGCTCATATATATCTATATCTATCTGTCTATCTATCTATACACACACACACACACACACACTCACACACATTTCATTCAATTAAATGATAGAATCTTTTAAAATTATAAATCGTCCCCAAATAATTTCAGCTTTCAGGAAATTTCATATAGTGCCTGAAAACAAAATTAACATTTAGCTCTTTTGTAGAAAGTAAGATAATCTTCAATTTGGAGAGAGTTATCTCTTAACGATTATTCATGTATATATAGAATATGGAAACAATGGTTAGGTCCCTATGGTCAGGTAAATTTGGAAAACATTGGGTGTAAAAATTGGAGCATGTTTCTCTACTTTCAGGACCTCTCAGAGCCTTTAGTATCCTAATAGCCTCCAGCAAGGGGCTAGAATATGCATCAGTGCCTAAACTAATTTCACTGTGGTACCTTTTATTGAAATGCATCTCCCAGGGCTAGTCTTTATTGACCAAACTTTGGAAACCACCAAACTAAAACAATTCACTTACAATAAAGTGATCAAGGCACTTAATAATTTATCAAATATACACCAGTGGTATAATTATGAACACTGACAAATCTAGTGCAAGAATTTGCTTGCACTGGTCACTTGAGAATTTAATCATTTCCAGAGGAATATTTGAGCCAGGGTTTCAACAGGGAATGACTTGGCCCAGGAAGATGCCCATATATAAATAACCTTAATGGTGAACATGAGTTACATGAGACATTTGTAATATAATTGTGATGTACAAAGTAATATATATTGCTTAAGAATGTGGTCCAAGCCCTTATGAAAAGATATGATTTATTGGGCCTAACATGATAAAAATTTGTCTTTAATGAAAGTCTAACATCACCTATCAGCAGATGATAAGAGCTTTGCATAACACAAACATATCTAGAAATGCTAACTGGCCATCTGAAAGTATTTTCTCATACCAACAAAAAGGCCTGTTTGTGGCTGACAAATTTCTTTCAAAGCTGGACATTATTAAAATTTTGTTGTATTATTTGTGAGAGACAAAGTTTATTGAGTCAAACTTTTTTCTGTACCTAAGTTTTTCTTAAGCAGTATGTTATATACTATGAAGTCTTAAAAAGTTTTGTCACACTCAGTTCTGTTTTGTCCCATGTGAAATATTGCCAAATGAATCTCCTTTAGAAAAGATAGCAGATATATTACTACTTAGTGTATTTAGGGAATTATTTAATGAATAGGCCACTATAGTGGCCTAAACTAAATTATTTCCTATAGTTATTAAAAATACTGAAATTTGGCTTAGAAAAAGTGTCTAATTTGTACAGAAACGACACCATTTTGATAACTTTATAGCAGGGCAGCCTTCAGTATTTGATATAGTAATAGATACATATGGTGAAAATAAGCAAATTCCATATCTTGTACTAAGAGCAGGTGCAAGTGGACATAAACCCTTTAAGTACCAAATTGACATTATTGTGACAAAAACGTTCAAGAATAATTTAAAAACTATATAAATTTAGCCGAGCTCTGTTCCATTATACGGTTGCTAGTGTTAGAATAAGATAACTTTTAAAAGGTCAAGAAACAATGAAAATTATTTTTTAAACCTGCAATGTGTTGTTAGCAGTAAAAACAATATATCTGCATGTTTATAATATATCTAATTTAGGGGAAATATATGACACGGTATATGTGAAAAATCTAGAGTATATAAACCTTAATACAATCTAAGAAAATACCATTTAGCATATTACCTCATTTTCATTACAATGATGAAAATGTGAATTCAGAAAATTACTTAGTCCTTAGGCTAAAAATAGATTATCAAAACCTAATATCATTTTAGCTCAAAATCATATTTCTTCAGTAAATGTTCTACATCATAATGTGAAAAGTACAAACAAACACTCAAATTTGGGGAAGGAATTGAAAGTACTTTTTAAAATAAGCAACTTTAGCTAATTCCATTATGTTTTTCTCTCTTCTCAAACTGAGGCAATAGACTTGCTGCCGTGACACATTTACTAAAATTACAGAGGAAGTAGATTCCTCAGAAGTTAGCCTGATTTGTGTATTTTAGTCTTAGGTTTCTCAAAGATGACTTATATTTGCTTTTTGATTTTTATTTTATCCTGACCATTTATAGTTTCTACATTTCATCTCATTCAGTTCCACTTTTTTCCAGGTTGCCACTTTATTCTTATTCTAAAAAACCTCAATAATCATTGCTTATTTTGTTGTTTTAATGAAAACATTGAGTTCTTATAAATGTATAGAAAGAGCTAAAGGCAGATTGCAATTTTGCATTTTTATTTACACTTTTGGACTGATACACGTTTTTAGCAATTTGGCCATAGTCATAGTGTCCTATTTGTCTGAGCAGCAGGTAAATGTTACAACTTCTGTAAGTTCTGTGGCTGCTCAGAATCTCTTATAAATGTATGTCCTGGTAAACCATCAGAAGCCCCCTTCTAGAACTGAAGTGTCCTAATATTGATCTTGCTTCTTTCTGCACATGCTAGAAATTTCCACAGCAGTTTCTAGATCTGACCTAGGCACTCAATTAGTAGATGGGGATTGTAGGTTTCTAAAAGACTCTATAGCACCAAGATTCCTCAAAAAATTAAAAATAGAAGTACCACATGACCCAGCAATCCCACTTCTGAGTATTTATCTAAGAAAT